GGGGGCTCTCAGACTTGTCTTCCCCAGAAAGATTTCCTTTCCTCAAGTCTTTCATCCCAGCACTTAATTCACCTAAGTGTTCATTATCTTCTTCTGTTTTTCTCTTTGAACTCTGCAAAGCATGTCATCTGCATCACAGAGAACATAACTTGATAGGGCCTTTCTTTTCCAGTGGATACTCCTAGTGCATGAAGAGAAATAAATTTGGATATTTTTCACTGGGGGGAGGTGGGGAATTGAGTCCTTTCTAGAAATAGCCTGTTATGCACTACTGCTGAGTTTTCTTCCCCCCAATATTTTTTTTTTTTACACAAAAATTTCTTCCCGGGGGAGTTTAACCTTTCACAGAGCCTCCTCTCTATAAAGCTTATGATGGGTGCATTTTTATGGGTACCTGACTTCTGTATCTGGATAAAGCAAGCTATATGGCTTCTGATAAGTCTTACAAGCTGTAGGTGAAACAGGCCTGGAAACTTGGCATCAGCGAAGCTCCATGCTGAGGTGTAGGGATGTGTCTCCTCTATATGTCTGATCCTTTGTCAAGCTGCTCCACCAGACTTCATTCCAGGGAAGCCTATCGTGCTTTACCATAAATTCATTTTACTGTAGGTTGCTTTATCTTTTACAGTATTGTTCTTCAACTCAATTCAACTCACCTCAATTCATTGTTATCCAGCTAGAACCAACTTATAGTTGAACCCTGACTGGGACTCCAACACTATAAATCACAAAGCTACAAGACTGCCCATCTTTGTCCTGCAGAATCTTTAGTGGATTTGAACCATCAGAGAGGTGCTGCCTTTGGGTTATCAGCACAGCTCCCTAAAGACTACAACACCAGAGCTCCCTACTCTTCTTCCTCCCCCTCTTCCTCCTCATTTTCATCAAATTGGAACTGACTCATAGCTGACCCTCCAGCAGATTTTTCAGACGCTGTAAGTCACATGGGAGGAGATGGCCCATATTTCTCTCTCAGAGCAGCTGGTAGATTTAAACTGCTGCCTTTTGGTGGACAGGGCAACTCCTAATCTGCTAGGCCTCCAGACCCTCCCTCTGCTATTCCAATTTCATTGTCCTGATCATTTGATATCTGTGCTCCAGTTTCTGTAGGATTTCCTTGGTAGGCAGACCGTTAAGTACTCAGCTACTAACCAAAAGGCTTGAAGCCTTTTGAATCCACCTAGAAGAACCATAGAAGAAAAGACTGGCAATCTATTTGCAGAAAAATGACAGCCATTGAAAACTTTACACAGCAAAGTCCTGTTCGGAGTCACCATGACTGCTTTGGTTTCTTTATTTCACCCCCACTCCCACCCCGAACTAAAAGGAAGCTATCTCATTTCTTTGTCACCTATGAGGAAGAGCTAACAAAGCCTGGTCTTGCAGTCAGAGCAAGAATCTGTATTTTCTTCAGTCTTCCCCTAAGCCAGGCTGCTATGAACAAGTTGCTCCCCTTCTCTTGTGTGAAATGAAGATCTCTAAGGTCCCTTCCAGCCTGATGCTGTGGTTCTCCTGCATCATTTAGGCTAATTGCTCCATAGAAGGCCTTTGTAAAGGAAGGAGTTAGGTGAGTCTCACAACTGATCAGAAAATAGTCCTTGGTATGAATGTCAATTCGGCCAAGATTCCTTATGATCTCTTCTTGCTCCCAAAGATCTTGATGCTGTCCATGGTAAAGGCAGTGGTGATTTATTGATTATCTACAATGTGTCAGACACTAGGCAAGATTTATACCTCACTATCCAAAAGCTTGTGGTTCAAGTCCACCAGCAGTTCCTCAGAAGGACGGACAGTCTCCTCCAGTGCTATTTACAGCCTCTGAAAACGTGCTGAAGAGTCAGCTGTGAGTTGGCTCTAACTGCACAGCAACAAGAGTTGCGATAAAGTAGACTACACTGCGTCTTCTACCACCGAACACCCCACAATCTTCACCCATCCCATCCCAGGTGCTCCGTATTCATTCCTAGGGTCTCACTTTCACTGCTACTTCCTAGGTGAGACCCCCTCTGATCCCTCACACTAGGTCAGGTCTCCCTCTTCTAGTCCTTGTGGTTTCCTAGGTTTTCACTTCCTTGGACCTACCATGAAGATAATGATACAAGGATTTGTTTAACTTTTTCATGCCTGCCAAACAGAAAACTCCATGAGGACAGGGACCATGTAAGTATTGATCATTATTGTATTCAAAGAGTTAAGCACAATGCTAAGATGACAGTAGAGATTCACCAGTTTTTTTAAACTTTTTGTTGTGGTTTGGATGAGGGATTACAGAGCAAATTCAGCAATGGACATTGTGTTTCCTGGCGTTGGTTGAAATCTCCACAGTGTAACAGCACTCTTTCCACTTCTTCCTATGTTTATTGTTTCCATCCATGCTTCTGTCCTGTCCATTCTTGTCTGAGCTTTATCCGTGGCCAAATTCTGCCCATTTGTTCCCATAGAATTGATTATTCTAAAGAATGCCTATGTGCCTATGTTATTGTTCATCGTGTAGACTTATCTATTATTCATCTCACATACTTTGGTATGTTGTGAGAAGGGGCCAGTTCCCGAAAAGGATATCCTTCTCAGAAAAGTGGAGGGTCAGTAAAGGAGGGGAAGGCCCTCAGTGAGATGGATTGACATGGTGACTAGAACAATAAGCACAGCAGAGATTGTAATGGCCCAGGACCAGGCAGTCCACCTGTAGAATCACTATATATGGAACTAACTCAATTGAGCCTAGTAACAGCAACATTTTCTGATTGAAAATTGAGCCCCCATGGTAAATTCAGTTCTAGAATGGAAGGGGTATCTAAGGACTTTAGTCTGGGGTTCCACCAGTCCCTGTCAGATCAGTTGGCCTGTTCTTTTTACGATTGAGTGGTATTCCACATTTTTCTCTTACTCTTTCCAGGTCCTCCTATTGTGCTCCTTTGGGGAGGCGCTTGCAGGACACCAACACCTTATGGAGATGGATGATCACAGAGTCCATTATTCCTTTGGACTGATCACTTCCACATGTCTTTAATTTTCTTCATTCTCTGCTTTGGACAGAGAGAAACAATTATCATCCTTAGATGGCCATTCATAAACTTTTAACGATCCCAGGCACTACTCACCAAAACAGGATGTAGAACATTTCTTGGTGAACTGTGTTAGGCCAGTTAACCTGTATGTCACCAAGACTATGAGGGTCCTGAACCCCTAGGCCTAGCAGCGCATTCCCTCAAGATGTTCGGTTTTGGCTAAGAAGTTTTCATAATTTTGCCCCTTGGGTTGTTGTTCTTGTTCGATGCCATTGAGTCAAGTACTGCTCACAGTGACCCTGTGAATTGCAGATCTGAACATTGTTCTATCTGTGCCGTTCTCATCTTCTCTGACATACTTGAGCCTGTTGCTTCAGTCTCAGTGCCAATCCATCTAGTTGAAGGTCTTTCTTTTGTATTAGCGAATACATTTGCAGCCCATGTAAGTGCATATATAGAAATGTTGTGAGGTGCCATCAAGCTATGGCTCCCAGTAATTCTGTGAATAACAGATCAGAACCGTGTCCCATCCTGCACCATCCTCACAGATGTCCAGCGTGCTTGAGCCCGTTGTTACAGTCACTGTGTATATGTGGAAACATCCTCCACCAAGCCCGTCTCTGTTGTGACTCTAGTCCTCTTCACCCTCCTACACCTGGTTAGGCTGAATGTGTATCCATTCAGAATTAAGCATTCTGTTATTGTAGGCGACCAGCGCAGCTCCAGCATGTTGTTTACCTTTGTTGCCTTTAGCACTTAGCTCCTCTCAGTGTCTTCCTTAGTCTGGATCATTTTGTTCTGACCTCCCCTTACTTTATATTGCCTTTCCCTTAACCCCAGTTAATACATGTCTACCCTCTAGTTCTGACTGTCATTGAGAACCAACTTGTAGCAGACTCTCCATTGAGTTTCAAGGCTGTAAGTCAATCACATGGAAGGAGATTATCATATTCCTACCTTAAAGTCACTGTTAGATTCAAGCCACAAGAGAGGTGTAGACTGTGGATTACCTGCGCAGATCCCTTCAGACTAAGCTACTAGAGCTCACCCTCTAGTTAGTGATTTTAAAAAAAAGGGGGGACACCTTACAAATTTACATGCTATCCATGCTAATCCTATCTTTCCCATTTTAGTTTATGTGCAGTAGAAACAAGCTCTCAATCTTTTATTGAATGAGTGGATGGATGGATGGATGGATGGATGGATGGATGGATGGATGGCAGGCACACTGACAAATTGATATGAATGGGAGGGTGTCTGGGGAGACCTGCAGATGTTAGATGACTCTGTTTGTCCATGAGCATGTCATTGCCCAAACAACCCAACAGTCACGGGCTCGCCGTTAGCAGGGTTCTGAGCTGCTGCTCCCATCCTGACATGATCACCGCTCTGCTCTAGACATGCTCTTATTAAGGGTCGCTTGTTCCTGCAGGGCTCTGTAAAACAGTTTGGATCCAGGTAGGGCCTGTTGATGGTGGAGCTTGGAGAAGAAGGGCTGGGGGCTGGATGTGCTGAATTGAATTAAACATCACCAAGTGTCCTTGTAGCTGTAAGCCCCTTGTCTTCACATCATCAACACGGCTCTGTAACCTAGTGTGCCAAAGGGCTGCCAACAAGGATGCCCTCTGCAGGGGATCTAGGTCAGTAGTAGTGTGTGGGTAGAAAGGAAACACCACCATGACATGATAGCATTTAAGGAAGCAAAAATAAAACTCTAATTTGAAGACTGTTAAAAATAGGCTACATGAGCTGTCAAATGGCATGCAAATCGATGCTAATTACATGTAAATTAATTACACATCCTAAATTCTGTCTATTTTGATGGGGCCCTTGGGGGGAGTAGCCCAGGGTGGCAGCTGTAGGCCTGGGGTGCAAGTAGGACAACGGAGAGGTGGACTCTCATGTGGCCTCACTCACACTCAGCTATTGCAGTGAGAAGAGCTGAGAGGGAGGCTAAAAATACTAACAATAGGAATTTGATTTCTCTTCCAGACAAAAAGCCCTGGCTTCCACGGGAGGAAGAAGTGTTCAGGCAGCATGTGACTGGTTGGTATGAAATAAATAAATTGAGAAAATAGCATATAATTAACTATGAGTGCATATGGATGGGCTGGGAGTGCTGATTTTCTAATGAACCCTTCCAGGGGGCAGATGAGCCAAAAGGCTTTCTGACAAGCCCATTTATCAAGTCAGTCACCCCCCTCTTCAGCACTGGCCCCTCAGAGGCTGTGCCTCCATAGAGTTGTTTAAAGGAATGCAAAGTGATTTCAAAGAAAGTGCCCCTCTAATAGTATCTGCCCTTCCCCAGCCACTTAAGGATGCACCTTAGGTGTGTGGATGCTGAGAAAATCAATTGAGAAGCATTTCCTACTTGCTTTTGAAGATGTCACTAGCTAGGGCAGACCTCACAGTGTTGCCCTCCAGAAGCTTCTTTGATACTGCTGGTGTGTGTGTGGGGGGGGGGGGGGTGGCATGTGAGTTTAATCATAGACTGAAGAGCCCAGAATGGGTTGAAATAGGACTAGTGAATTTGGGGGAAAAATTAATGTTTATCTATGAATGCCGCCTACAGAGGTAGCTTTAAGTTTTGGGCATGTTGGTGAGGCTGCAGTATGACAGACAGAATAGAGTCCCATGCATTTGAGAGTTGGTTGTGTAGTGTGAGCTTCCAGGGGTAGGTTTTTACAGCGCAATACCCAGGGTGTGAAGCATACAGAGGGTGGATCTGTCTCCTTCAGTTCTTTCTGCCATCCCATTATTCTCAAACCCAGCCTCCTCTGTCTTGCAGGTTATTCTCCCATGTCGGTGACCCCTTCCTGGATGACCCTCTGCCCCGGGAATATGTCCTCTACCTCCGCCCCACAGGCCCCCTAGCACAGAAGCTTTCGGACTTCTGGCAGCAGTCGAAGCAGATCTGCGGGAAGAACAAGGCGCACAACATCTTCCCGCACATCACCCTCTGCCAGTTCTTCATGGTGAGCTACTGTCTCCTGTCCTCCAGGGAGCCTGTCTCCTCGTGCCCAGAGCAGCCTCCAAAATCATGGAGTCAGAGTCAGGAGCTACTCAGAGAGAGAGCTGAACAGTCACAGGTTCCCAGAGCTGGGAAGGCCTTCCTTGGTGCAGATGGTTAATGCTCTCAGTTGATAGCCCAAAGGGTGGAGGTTTGAGTCCACCCAGAGTCATCTTAGAAGGGAGCCCTGGTGACTAACTTCTGAAAAACCATCCATCACCCATTCAAAACCCTGTGGAGCACGGTTCTAATGTGACACCCATGGGGTTGCCTTGACACCTGTGGGGTCCTCTCCCCAACTGGTGCTAGAGATGGACACACCTTTAATGGACCATTGATGTCCTTCATCCAGGTTCTGACTCCAGATTCCCATTCTTACCACCAAGGCCTCAGCAGCATGACCACCCAGGTCCATGGTGACAGCATGTTCCTCAGGACCTAGAGCAAGAATGACAACTGTGGATGCACCCACTCATCTAGCTCCACCCTTGTCCATTGTCTACTATTTCCATTCTTAAGAAAAGGAAAGCATAAAAAGAAGAGCTGGGCACAAGAATTGTCATCTGCTGACAGTGAAAGCTACTTTCATTTTGTGGACCACAACCCGCAGACATTTTCTTTCCCCTAGATCTTTCTCAAACAGATTCCATTAAGTTGACTCCGATTCAAGGGAACCCCATGTAGACCCACAGATAGAGCAAGATTGTGCTCCATAGAGCTATCAAAGACTGATTTAAAAAAAAAAAATAAATCCCCAGACCTTTCATCTGAGGCACTTCAACCTTCCAGCCTTTCAGTTAGCAGCCAGGCACATTGATCATTTGCACACCCAGGGACTCCCAGATCTTTCTAGAAGGTGCAAAGATGCTTTATATCACCACAGTTAACTTGCCCATAGTCCTGGTTGGCAGCAAGTTTGTTTAATGATTAACTTAAATCCTCCTCACTATCACATAATACTTTTCCTCTACGCCACACCCCTTTAGAGATGGAGAAGAGTTGATTTACCCCAGTACGCTCAAGATGAGACAGAACAGTAGCGTTATGAGATGCTTTAATATAATGATTTGTTGTCCCAGATTCAGTCTTTCTCTTCTTTGGAGGAAAAAAGAGGCGGGTGGGTAACTAGGTAAAAATATGTTCCCTACACCTTCTCTTTTACCATTCAGTCTGAAAATGAAGGTGATTGTCATTTCCTCTTAGTCATCCCAGGATCTTTCTCACAAACATTCCAAGTTTTAGAGGCAGTCATTCTTTCTCCCTGTACTCTGCAGAAGGTAGGAGGAGGATGCCACAGGCTTGTTCTTCCCAGCTCTAACAAGGGTGGAAATGGAGTCAAAGCTTGATTGGCTAAGAAGAATAGAAGAGGCAGAAATGAGGCAAAACAGTCGAAAGGACACAAAGATTGCTCTCAGAACACTCACTCTCTCCTGTCACATCCCCCGTCCTTACCTTCTGCTAGACTTCTCCTGTCTCTAACTAGGCTCGAAGGGGCCTCCGTAGAGCAAGGAGGGAGGGAAGAGGTCCTTAATCTCTCAGGCTCAGTTCTCCAGTTGGCTAACCCATTCGTAGATAACTGGAAACCTGTCAATTCTCCCCCTCCTTCCAGACAGGAGTGAGAGTTAAATAGTTGCATCATCAGCCTCACTCACATCCCTGGGAAGAGAATGTTAAATGGCGTAAGACAGATAGCTTCCCCCTTTCTTAACAAAGCCTTCTTGTTTTACTTCCACCAGTGTGAGGACAGCAAGGTGGAGGCCTTGGGGGAGGCCCTGCAGACCACTGTCAGTCGCTGGAAATGCAAGTTCTCAGCCCCACTGCCCCTGGAGCTCTACACCTCCTCCAACTTCATCGGCCTCTTTGTGAAGGAAGACAGTGCTGAAGTTCTCAAGAAGTTTGCTGCCGACTTTGCGGCAGAAGCTGCATCTAAAACTGGTGAGCAAATGCAGCTTTCAGGCCAGCCTGAGTCCTACTAACCTGTCAGACAGCTGTGAGGGAAGGGGCTTGGGGATCCTGGCAGAGGGAGGGATGGTCCTGGAATGGTAGAGTATGACCAAGCTCATCCACTTCCCTCAACACCCCAGTCCTCTCTGTATACTCTAAAAACGTTCAACAGCATATCTGATAAATTTTTGTAGAGAAAGTCTTCCTCTTTGACATCCAAAATGAAAAAACTTCAATGAGTGTTCCCCATGCCAAGTCAAAGTTTGTTTTTGTAGTTTTTTGAGGTTTTTGTAGACCCTTCATCTTCCCCCAGCTCAGAATTACAAAATCAGCCTTTCTTTCTCCTGAACTCCCTCCCACCCCAGCCTTGAGCCAGGTCTTTTAGTTCCCTGTATAAGGCACAAGGGCTTTTTTCAGGTGCACAGCACAGAGGTGAGTAGAACCACTTGGCATTAGATGATAAGGAAACTCGCTGAAGCCTTCAGCTTGCTTGAAAAGCTATGGCTCAAGTCTATCCAAAAACGTGGCCACACAAGATGACTCTTGCTTATGGTGGCCCTTGGTTTCAGCCAGCAGATTTATTGTCAGTGGAACGGTCATCATGTGTGTTGGCCCAGAGGCAACAGCTTGTCGGACACAGATGCATAAGCCCTCTTAGCTTCACGTGAGCCTTCCCAGCAATGGACAGACATTCTGGGTGGCTCAGAGCCTGCGCTGGCTCTGTCAAGAATGAAACCATTCAGCAGGTTTATTGGACGTCTACTGGGTGCTTATCTGAGGAATGACTCAAAAAAAAAATAAGAAGTGGTATCTCTTGGCAGAGAAGGTGCAATGTGGTTGGGAATGCCAATTTGGCCTCTGGTAGAAGTATAAAGACTAATTCTGAGAAAAGAGTGACCATCGAGGGTGGAATAGTTCCATCTTCATAGATGAAAGGAGGTTCACAGTGGGAAGATGTTGACAAGTAAAATGGAGAAATGACTCTCCAGATGGGCCATGAGAGCAAAGAGAGAGTGAGCAGGATATGTGCAAAAGATACCATGGACCCCAAGTACTGAACATGAAACTCGGAAGACAGAACTACCACAGACCCCAAGTATTGGACATGAAACTGGGAGAGACTTAGGGCTTGTCACCTCCACGTCATACCTGAAGCCAGAGAGAGAAGAAACAGCCTGAGGAGAGCCCCAGGCTGCCATTTAGCCCCCTGACCTTTCACCTACTCTTCATCTGACATTTTCCATTGCTCATTGTTTTCATCAATCGTTCATCTTAGAGATTCTTTTTTCGACAAAGCCCCAAATAGGAAAGGTCCAGCAATACGGAACAGGATCACTGAGGGAAGTCTCCAATCTCAAAAGACTGAGGAAATTTTGAAAATGTTACCATCCTTAGCGTCTATTCCAGCCTCTTCTTGTTTCCCCCAGGACTGTTCTCTGGTTACTGACTTGAGTGGGGCCCAGTGCTTTACCTTAGTCTTTCAGAGAAAGAGTAGGGGGGGGGGGGCAAGTGATTTCCTGTCCCTGCCGCTTTACCTCAGGTTGCACCTCAGAGAAATGGCTTTTTATCACACAGTGGCTGTTGCCAGAACCATTAAGAATTCCCACAAGAACCAAAACAAATGCTGCAGCCACAGAATTCTTCACAAAATGAGTCAAGTGGTCTCAGCCAGCACTGTGGCCAATTCTTAAATGTGTACTGATTTCCTTGTAGAAAGGGGGACAAGCCAGCGCCTCTCCAAGAATCTGAGGTCCCTCTCCAAGAACTTGACTGGTTTCCTTTCTCTGCCCTTGTATAGCCCCCTGGTGGTGATTTGAAGAATTAGCTGGCCTTGCTCAGGGAAGCTGGCCCAACCCAGGAAAAATGTGAGCTTTAAACAGCTCTTTAGAGCCTAGATTTAGAAAGTGGTGGTCATACCTTTGCCATAGAGCTTACTCCTTTGTGTATTTGACTTTTTGGCAGACCACATTCCTTCTGCAAATAGACTGAGTGCCATCTCCACTCTAGGTTGTTTAGAAAGGTGCGTTCATGTGTATTTGTTCCCTCAACAAATACAGTCTGCACCATGGTGAGAGTACAGCATGAACAACAGATAACGTCTTTGCTTCAAGGAGCTTATTCCTCTGCTTCACCCTGTGCCCTGAGCAAGCCCCTTATTTCTCCCTATATCCATTCATTGCTGCTTCTCCAGTGCATTATCTCCAACAGTAGATTATGCTCCTCACTAGCAGCAGTACAAAAGAGAAACAGAGGCATTCCCTTATGTAGATAGGCGTGTTTTGTTATATTCTTAGGGTGTCTAAGAAAAGCAACCTGCATACATTAAACCAGTGGTTCCTCAACCAGGCGTGATCTTACCTGCCTCCCCCAGGCAATATAACAAGACATCTTTAGTTGTCCCAACTTAGAGGCTCCCTGGAGTCAAGGATGATGAGACTTTATCTCATAAACATTCAGCATATTGTCAGGAGAGGCCCATCTCCAGAAAAGGACGTCATACAGGGAAAAGCGGAGGGCCCATCAATGTGAGGGTTTGACATAATGACTGCATCAATAGGCTGGAGCGTGGCAGAGATAGGAAGATGGTGATAAGATTTGCATCTGCTGCACCTAGGGGTCTGTGAGCTGCAGTTGACTTGATGGTACCTAGCAACAACCATAAAAACTGAAATGTGATGGTTCGGAGCTGAGAACAGAGCTATCTGGCAATGCACATGGCCGTTCCAGAAAGCAGAGTTTAGAAAACAGCAGCTTGGATTTCCAGTCAGCATGTTAATTCCAACTCAAAGCAGCCCTACAGAACAAGGTGGATCTGGTCGATAGGGGTCTCCAAGAATGTCATCTTTATGGAAACAGGCTCCCACATCTTCTCCCACAGAACTGCTGGTGCGTTTAATGGCCACTCTTTTGGTTATCTGCTGAATGCTTGACCACTGTGCAACCAGGTCTCTTTACACAGCCCCAAAGATCCCCAGTGCTTTAAGCTTTGAAATAGATTTTATCTTTTTCTTTTTTTCTTCTTCTTCACTTCTTCATAAAAGCCACACAGAAGCCAAGAGGCTTAGTTCCGGGGGGTAGGGAGAGGGGATACCATCTTAACCTGGGAGTCAGATAATTACAAAGCTTGCTCTATATTTCTGCAGACATGGTTTCATTCCTGTGGGTCTCAGTTTCCTTGTATATATAATGGGACAAATGAAGATCAACTGGAGTTGTAACAAAAAGACAACCCCAGGGAAAACTCGTGGGGCCAAGTGTCTGCCTTCTTGTCTAGCTCTCAAGTAATAATTAATTTGGGATGTCCTCCCCCCCTTTATTCTTCCACTTCTGTTATTGAGGGGAAAGCCCCAGTAACCACTGCAATTGTAAAAAAAAACCAAGAAAAGTCATTTATTTAGCATATTGTGTAAAAGGAAAGAGAAAGAGGAAGAAGAGGCAGTTCTTCCCAGAACCCGTAATGGCTACATCCCTCTGGAAATTATACAAGTTACAGTATTAAAGTTTCACTCACATGAGGGTGCTAAAAGAGGGTTGCTCATACATCTTGCTTGCAGGTGTCCTTTGATTTGAGAGGCCTTTTGGCAACAAAACCAGTGTTATCAAGACAGGATAGTCACAGACACAGGAAGGAGGAAAACCAAAAAGGGTCCCTTGAAGGGGGTGGGGGTGGGGTAGGGAGGGAGTGTTCTTAGTTAATGAACAAGGTGAATGAGAACTAGGAGGTTTGCCTTCAGCCTCGGTCAGTTGAGGATGATGATGTATATGAAGTAGACTCTGAATTTGTGTTCTTTGTTCCTCGGGGACTATTTTTATTTAAGGTATTAATACTATTATTATAGGGGTGCTCTGGTGAGCTGGTCGTAAGGAATTACACTGCCAACCCAAAGGCACACAGGGTCCAAATCCCACAGTGGCTCCAGCGGGAGAGATCCCCTCTCATGATTGACTGCCTCTGCAAACCCCCTGGAAAGTCAGCTCCGACTCTGTGCTACTACCAGAGAGGTGGATGGGGGAAACTCTGAGGCTGGCATGGAGTTATTTATTCTTTCTAAAGTCTGCAAATTAACTTTTCAAATTGGCGATAGGCATTTTATATCAGCTTGATACTCAAGGCAAACAGCTGTTTCTACCAGGTTTACCAGGCTGTGCTCTCACCTTAAGCACTTCAAAAAAGAAACCGCTTTTATCTGGCCAAGGGATTCTCTTCTTAGTTACTGGGAAGCAGAATATGTGCAAGTATCTTTCAGTGTTCGGGAAATCTCCACACTCTGTGATCCCCACATTCTAATAATTGACCTGTCTTCCTTTTTCCCAGAAGTACATGTGGAACCTCATAAGAAGCAGTTGCATGTGACCCTGGCTTATCACTTCCAAGCTAGCCACCTACCCACCCTGGAGAAACTAGCCCAGAACATCGATGTCAAGCTTGGATGCGACTGGGTGGCTACCATATTCTCCCGGGATATCAGATTTGCTAACCATGAGGTAATGTCTCCTTGTAGCCTGGGTCCCACTGAGGTGTAGACTACCCAACACCCCTCCCCCCATCAGAACCAGGAGTGCTGGGTACCAAAGATGGGACCATAGAGAAGCCATGAGGCAAGTATCAGGAGTCAGCTGACCCAAGCTGTTATCCAAGCTCTGCCTGAATCCCTGTGAGCTCACATGCCAGCTGTCTGGCTCCCAGATGGCTCATCATATCACATACCATGGTTCTGTTGACCTGTGTGTCCTGCCTTCCTTAAGAGAAAACTAGAGATGAAATGGAAAAATAGAAAGATATGTCGTAAAAGGAGGGAAAGTAATTGAAACTGATTCGTATACTGTTTGTAGCGTGAAAGTTAGTATCAAACTGTAGTTCACAAAATTGTTTCCACTATATTCCTGGTGCTGAAAGAATGCAGAAATTAGTGAGGCTCTCAGTATTACTTGGGGCAGGAAATACATTTTATATCCTTGTCTTTTTTGTTTAAAAAAAAAAAAGGAAAAATAGAAAGATGTATTAGATACAAACTTTGTAAGTAAGCTAGTATAAAATATAAATTTTATTTAATTTTTTAAAAAAATATATATAAAATAATTTTTTTAAAAGACTAATTTAACTTGTGTTTTAAAATTCACAGTATAAGTAGATGGAGCACATTATCCTGACCTTAGGTGATAAAAGCATGTAATTACCATATCCTGCAAACAAAGTATCTGCATAGATATTGGTTGAATATAGCTGTTGAATATCTTTTGCATATAAAGTATCTTGGACCTTGTTCAGAATCTTAAAATGTGGCTCTGTCCTCATGGGGTTTTGAGTTCAGCTGGGGAGAGAAGACAGACAAAACCAGCTGCTGGGGACTTGATTGTAACTCACGGTGACTTCAGGCATGTCAGAGCAGAACTGTGCTTCATAGGATTTCCAGTGTCTTGGAAGCAGATTTACTGACCACTGAAGGCACCTTTGGGCAGCTTCAAACCACCCACCTTTCAGTTAGCAGCCATGTTGACCATTTACACCATCAGGGGCTCTTGCGAACAGATATGCACACAAAGAAAACACAGACCCAGCATCGTTAGAGTTTGTGTGCATCACAGTGAGGGAAGTAGAAGGATGAGATCCCAATGCAAGGGCCAAGATTGGGGTGGTCCAGGTGTCCTTCTTTCAACAGTGCTTCCCAGGACATATTCCCTCTTTGAAAAATAACATTGTTTTTTCATCTGAAGGAAAAGATGAGATCCAAAGGAATAAAGTAACTGATCCAAAGCTAAGTAGCAAGTTAAGCCAGAGCTGGAAAAGACCACAACACAGCCCATACTTTTTTCTATATTTCAGAATGGTTTTGACTTTTTCTTATGATTTAAGTGGAAGTTTACAGAGTAAATTGGCTTTCCACCCAACAATCCATACATGTTTTGTTTTGTAATGTTTGTAGTCCCCACAATGTAAGGGCACTCTTCCCATTTGGTGGTGTAGACTGTAGGGAGTTGTGCTCATACTTGGCACCTCTCTGGTGGTTTAAATCTACAAGTGGCTCCTCAGAATAAAGATGGGTGATATCCTCACAAGCAATTTGTTGTTGTGTATCATTAAGTAAGAACCAACCCACAGCTTACCCTCCAGCTGGTTTTTAGAAGCAGTAAATTGCACAGGAGGAGAGTGCTCATTCTTCTCCTAGGGAAGCAGGTGATGGATTCGAACTGTATGCCTTTAGTATTGCAGTGCAGTTTCTTACTAGGCCACCAGAACTCCCTCTCTAGCAATTTACAGCCTTGAAAAATGTGCTGGGGGTCAGCTGTGAGTCAGTTCCAGTTTAACTACAGTGAGTTATTAAGTGAAAGTTATTTGACTGAAAGTTGAGCCATCAGAGTGAATTTAATTTCAAGCTTGTAAGATGACTAAGGGTCCTAGTCTTAGGAGCTCCACTAATCTGTATTGGGTTAGCAAGCCCGGTCTTTTTTATTATTATTTTACATTCTATTCCACATTTTTCTCCCTTTCTTGTGACCTCTTTTAGTGTAGTCAGTGGTGAGAGCCAGGAGCCATCAATATAACTCATAATTGGCTGGGGGGGGGGAATGCCTTCCAAGGAGATGACATTTGTTAAATAAGATTTATGTTTTTTTCCTATTTTTTTCACCAGCAAAAGTATTGATGTTCATTCATGTAACCTTTTAAACTCTGTTTTAAAACTGTTGTTTAGAATTGTTAACAATTCTAAAGCTGTGAAACAGTAGCTCAGAATGGTGGGATGACTGGTCTAAACCAGGCCAACCCATCAGAACAGTGGAGATGTTGAAAAGAGCTGGGTGTGACTGCCAAGCTCAGGACACTCCAGGGGCCTGGGAGGGTCAGGGCCTGGGGCTATCAGGTAACCTGACTCTGCTAATGGGCACATTCCATTTTCCTTTAGACTCATTCCTTCGAAATTTTTTGCAAAAACAAAATACCAGACTAGGCTGCCCTTACTTAAGAATTTTGACACCCCTTGAAGTTGCTAAGGATAAAGTCCTAAAGATAGCAGAGAGGTGTGGTTGATTGGAAACCTTTCACCCTTTCTGAAGGAAAAAGAAAAAGAGTAGTGGTGGAAATAGCCGGTTAAGTTTGCATGCAGAGGGACTCTGAAAAGTCACCTTTCTGAGAGAAGGAAGTTGGCAGTGGAATTTTACAAGGAATATCCTCTAATCAACACTGCCCTCCAGTTAACACAAAGGGTAATTGCTTTTCTGCCTGACCCACATTCCACTCAATTGGCGTGGAGGGAAAGAGGCAGCAAACACCCAGATGAATTATTTTCTAAAAATAACTTGGCCTCTTTTATCTCTTATTTGTAGAAGCTCATTTAAGACTGTTCCTTCTGATGAAGATCTCCTCGGCACCTTTAGAACAGGCCATTTGTGGTGAAGTCTTTTGGCATTTAAAAAACCCACCTCAACCAAAAACTCAACTCAACGCTGTTAAGTCAGACCCGACACATAGCTGACCCTCCAGTGGGTTTCCGAGGTTGTAAATCACGTCGGAGAAGATTGCCCAGTTTTTCTCTAGTTGAAAGGCTGGTGCATTCAAAGCTCCAGAAAAGTGCCACCTTTGGTGCCAGTCCATACTACCTAGGCCACCAGAGCGCCCTCCTAGCATGTATAAAGGGCCTCCTGCCTTCCTACTTCCCCACTCCATCACTTGAAGATAGGCTAGGCTGAAGCTGTCCAGAGAAAGAAAGTGGTTTAGCCAAGTCTCTCATCATGGCACCATGAACCTTGGGAGAATGAGTAGGTCTCCTCCCTCTACTATTCGGACTACTGACTTGATTTGAATTTGTAAATGCCTGTTTGTATCTCAGTAGTCCCTTTGTGGCACAGATGGTTAATACTGTCAGTTGCTTAGAAAAAGGTTATTGGTTCCAATTCACCTTGACTGGTGGTCTCCTTCCAGAAAAATCACCCAAAACTCTATAAAGCAGACTTTTACTCCAATACACATGGCAGCTTTGTGTCAGAACCAGCTTAACAGCAACCAGAAATGGTTTTAATAGGAGGGATGAGCCCTTTTGTGATGATGATTTGAGCTTCCCAAAGAAAAGGTACTAATGGGGCAAGATGTGATCAGCCACAGCTGTGCTGTGCGTGAGCATCTGAGACACATGGGCCTGGACTTGTCTCCCATGACCGTGACTCTGAGCCTCTCTCCACCCTGTTCCAAGGAAAGGAATGTTCCTTGAGGTGGATCACCACTTAATGAACTTGAACATTTAAGAGATTGATTGCTTATAAGTGTTTTGGTTTGGTCTTGTTTTTAAGACGTTTTAACAACCCACCACCAGAACACATTCTTGACTCATTTGGGAAAGCTTTTCGTTTGTCACGTGTGTAAGTGGCCACGTGTGTGTGAACAGGAGTGAGTTTCAGGGAGATATTCAGGGAGCAAGTAGATGTAGAAGGAAAAGGTGTTGGAAAGAAGATTTAGGAGAAAGGAGTGGGTGCCATGAACAAAAGGGAAATTAGAAATCCAGCAGTGCAAACAAATATAGTAGATTGTCATGTCAGTCCTTGGAGAAAAAGACAGGTTTTACTGATTCCTTTCACTAGGAACTTCCAGAAGGAAATGTCTTTTTATGAAATTCGCTCATGGTCTCCCCACACTGGCTCAGAGTCCCAGTTGGCTGGAAGGGAGGATTTGACCTGGGGAAATCAGGCAATGAGATCCATGAGGAATAATGAAGCCCCTTCTCTACACAAGACTGTGCTCCAAGAAATTCCCTTAAATTGTCCTCTTCCCTTGTTTTAATCCAGGTATAGTCGTGTAGATGGACGAGGCAATGCAAAGAACTGAAGATGGGAAACAGAACAGTGAGCTTGCCACTCTAACTGGAGCTGGGGCCTCAGGAGGCGCTGTTCAAGCACAGTGTTAAATAGTCTAGAAAGCGTTTCCTTACCACTGAGGCCTCTTGCTGGTAACTTTTAAATGGGTAAAGTAAGCGTTTCCTAAAGCATGGTCTATGCCTTTGTCTAGGGTGTTTTTAAAAACAGGAAAGGAAGGTATAAAATACAGTAAACCAGCCAACCGACCTGGCCTGTGGGCTTTTTCTGAGCCCAGAGAAGGAGCATGTGGCCTCCATCTGTTCTCTGATGCAAGCTGGCCGCACACGGATGCACCCACTGATGTGGATGAATGATATCTTCCTCTCAAGGTCTTTGTTCATTAGAGCAGGTTGTAATAGGTTTAAAGGACGTTCCTTGAAGGCAGGGGCCGTATCTTGTGTAAGCAGCTGCGTCCTCAAATCCTTCCTACAGGGGACTGTCTCATCTGGTGCCTCTGCAGGCCCATAAGAAATGCTGCCTCTCCTTAGGCTGGACTTCAGGTACCTCCTCAGCAGATGGAGCCGGGAACCTGGACCCAAATCCCCTTCTACAGCCTTTTCCTGGAAGGCTTCCAATGAGTTTCTAAAAACCCCATCTGAACCCTGAGGAGAGGCACAGAATGCCTGGAGACAAGCTTGGAGCCATTAAGTAGTACCAGGCACACATCCTCGGTACCCTGAAAGAGATAAATGTTGATCTGAATCTGACGCTTACCCGAGCCCGACCCCCATATATGTCAACATCCGGATGCATGTGCCATTAATCCAGGGCTCGCTCCCACCCTGGAAACATCCAGAAGCGTGCGCACGCTCAGCTCTCACTTGTCCCTCTCTCCTTTCTGCAGACGTTACAGGTGATCTACCCCTACACACCCCAGAATGATGACGAGCTGGAGCTGGTCCCTGGGGATTTCATCTTCATGTCACCCATGGAGCAGACCAGCACCAGTGAGGGCTGGATCTACGGCACTTCCCTGACCACTGGCTGCTCCGGGCTTCTGCCTGAGAATTACATCACCAAGGCTGACGAATGCAGCACCTGGATATTTCACGGGTAAGCAGACCACCACCATGACAGGCTCCCCGGAGGTGGCAGGGCCGTGAATGTGATGCTGGACACGCGGGACAGCAGTAACTGTCAGTGGTTCCAGACTTCAAGGACAACAAGGGCTGATGTGGGAATGTGGGAAACAGTGTACATCACTCTGCTGAGCTCTGCCCGCTCCATTTGCTAGAACCACGCCTGCATTCTAATTAAAGAGAAACCACAGCTCCTTGAGCTCCTTTCTGTCTGAGTGTAATTCAATCCAGCACTTTATAGTGTTAGGACAATTGTCTCATATAAAACAACAGACTGCTCTTGAATCCTTTCCAACTCATGTCAACCCCATGAGGGTTCAAGAACTGTGCTCTCTGGTCTTTAATGGAGAATTTTCCTGATGTAGGTCACCATGTCTTTCTTCCAAGGTCTTCTGAAAGGACTCAAACTGCCAGCCTTTCGTTTAGCAGCCGAGCACATTAACTGTTGGCAATGCTTGGGAATTCCAGGATACTGAGGCTCCGTCTCACATACTTTGGCCATGTTTCCAGAAGGGACCAGTCCTTGAAGAAGGACATCACACTTGAAAGAGTAGAGGGACAGTGCAGGAGAGAAAGATTCCGGATGAGATGGATTGATACAGTAGCTGGGACAATGGGAGTAAGTGTGTCAGAGACAAGGAGATTGGCCCAGGATAGAGCATTTCAGAGCTATTGTGCATTGGATCACTGTGAGTCGTGGTTAACTCAACGGCACATAACAGCAACAGTGTAATGCATTACATGTCAGATTGCTAACCTCTAGGCTGCCAGTTCAAAACTATCAGCTATTCTGTGGGAAAAAGATAAGGAAGTCTCCACTTGTTAAATGTACAGCCTCAAAAATTTAATAGAAGTCTCTATAAATGGGGAGACTTATGGCAAGACTTTCCCCTCAAAAAGGAAAACATAATCTACACAGGAGTTCTACAGGACACGTCAACTTCCCTTGGAGACAGTACAACTAAACTTAAGAGACACTGGTCAAAAGAAAAATGTCAGCAGTCAACATTTTTGGAATCACAGAAGCCAAGAAAGCTTAAGATACCAGCT